CTGCCGCTGTGTAACTATGACTTTCAAATAAATAAATAAATCTTTTTTTTTTTGACAGGCAGAGTGGACAATGAGAGAGAGAGACAGAGAGAAAGGTCTTTCTTTGCCGTTGGTTCACCCTCCAATGGCCACCGTGGCCGGCGCACCGCGCTGATCCGAAGGCAGGAGCCAGGTACTTCTCCTGGTCTCCCATGGGGTACAGGGCCCAAGTACTTGGGCCATCCTCCACTGTATCCCGGGCCACAGCAGAGAGCTGGCCTGGAAGAGGGGCAACCGGGACAGAATCCGGCGCCCTGACCGGGACTAGAACCCGGTGTGCGGGCGCTGCTAGGCGGAGGATTAGCCTAGTGAGCTGCGGCGCCGGCCAATAAATCAATCTTTTAAAAAAGAAAATCCAACTGCTATTTCTTTCCTGCGGCCTCTCAGAAGCCCCAGTGGGCCACAGCACCAGGAGACCCCGTTCTGCAGGCTCTTATCACCGCCCAGTCGGCACTGGTCTGCCTCGGTCACCTGTGGTCACTCAGCTGGGCGCGGGTACTGCCTGAGGACTTGGGGGGGCGGCCCGGCCTGGTCAGCGGAGGTGGGAGTCGGCCGGCCGTGGCTGGTATTTGCCAGGCCCCTGTGAGCCGTCGGTGTCACAGGCAGGCAGCATAATCAATGCCATCGACACCCACAGTGAGGGGGACACGGCGCCTGTCGGGGGAGGAACCGCGTTTTGTCTGAAAACCCATAAATCCTCGTGTGGGGGAGGGCGGCAAGCAGCAAGATCAGGAGACCAAACGGAATGCACCCTCCCTGCCCATCCTCCCTGCCCAAGGCTCACAGCGAGGTCAGAGGTCAGAATTCTCCTGCCCAGACACCGCCCTCACCAGGCCCCCCCCCACCTCATTAGCGGCCAGAGCACTGGGGCGGAGCCTGTGCTGAGTTTGTCCTGTGGGCAGGAGTGGGAGGGGCTGCAGGAGGGGTGGGGGCTGGAGGGGGTGGAGGGGGCTGCAGCGAAGCTTCCCCTCCCCCTCGCCCAGCATCCCTGGGATGCAGATGTTTGTACAATTGGGGAAACTGAGTCCGAGGGCCCCTCCCCCACAGTCCGAGGGGCCCGAGTCGGGTCTTGGTTGTCTGAAATCTGTGCACCTGCCAGGGGTCCAGTCTGGTGCCCCCCCCACCTCCCGTTTAAGGTGGAGTGGGAGACGCGCAGCGCAGACTCTCAGTGTGACTGGGCTCTCACAGGCACATACGTGTGACACACAGGCCCGCTCCCGCACACACGCATGTGCCAGCAGGCCCGAGTCGAGCCCATACGCAGGGCATCGAGGGCCCATAGGGGGCTGGGGGTTCCTCACAGGCCTGGGCCTGCTGGGGTGGGTGTGGGGGGTACCTGTGCAGGGAGCCAGGCAGGACTCTCCCCCGCCAGAGCTGGGCCCCAGTGAGAGGGCAGGGGCGGGCATGGTGGGGGTGGGACGTGGCGGGGGTGGGCCAGCGCGGCTGGGGCCCGCGGGCGCAGCAAAGGAAATCCTGAAATGAAATCATCTCCCGGGCGTGGGGGGGCGGGAGTTTCTGCCCTAATTAAATGGCGCAGGCCCGGGTGGCTGCGGCGGAGCCGCGGGGGAGGGGGGAAGCAGGTGCGGTGTCGGCGAGGGGATTAGCGCCGTCCCTTTGATGGGCTCTAATGAGGCCCGCTGTCCTGCGGCACAAATCCATATTCACGTGCGGGGGCAGCCCCGCCCCCACGGAGGCCCGCGATGGGGAGGGCGGCGAGGAGGGAGGAGCCGCACTCCCGCCTCCCGCCGCTCACAGCCTCTCCACAGGGGAGCGGGAGGGGCCGGGGCCGGGCGGGCGGGAGGCTGGGCGGTCTGGGCGCCAGTGCACCGGGGCTGTGCGGGCAGGTTCCAGCCGGGAGCAGGGAGACGCCCCCTGGGCAGACCACCCAGAGAATGAGGCGAGGACAGGGCCCGGGCCAGGGCCGCACCGCACACTTCTCCGCCCCCAGGCCGCCCGCCTCGGAGCCAGGGAGAGGGCTGGCGCTGGAGGCTCGGGTTTGGAGTACCTGCACGGGCTGCGGCGGGGACGGCCTGCCAGTGGGGTCTCCCGCCCTCAGGGGCTCCTGCAGTCCGCGGAGGACTCAGCTTTGTGGGTGGGAGGGGCGGGGCCTCTGTCGGGGGTCTGAGTCCTCCCCTTCACTCTCCTGGGAGGCTGTGTGCTGGCGGCTTCTGCCTCTCCAGGTCGCCTCCCCCCCCACACCGTGTACCCCGTCCCTTGCCGGGTCGCCTCCCCCCCACACCGTGTACCCGTCCCTTGCCGGGCCGCTCTGCCGCCCCCCACATTGTGTACCCGTCCCTTGCCAGGTCGCCTCCCCCCCCACACCGTGTACCCCATCCCTTGCCGGGTCGCCTCCCCCCCACACCGTGTACCCCATCCCTTGCCGGGTCACCTCCCCCCCACACCGTGTACCCCGTCCTTTGCCAGGCCGCTCTCAGATTTCCCATTTGTCTGGTTTGTGTACTTGCTCTATTGGGCTTTGGCTTGGTTTCTGCTGTCTTTAGAAACTTGGATTATTTTTAGCTTTAAACTATGTAAATCGGTGTCTTTCATCAAATTCAGATACTTTTTAGCCACGGCTTCTAAAATGAAGGGAGTCTGGCTGCCTCTCCCGCTCCTCTGGCCTTGGCCACTGGGGCCTCCGGGCTCCCCAGCCTCCTGCGACTGCGAGGCTTCTGCTGGCTGCCCTCACGCTGGCTCCTCCCCACGCCGGCTCCTCCCCACACTGTGCTCCTCCCCACACTGTGCTCCTCCCCACACCAGCTCCTCTCCACGCGGGCTCCTCCCCACGCGGGCTCCTCCCCACACCGGCTCCTCCCCACGCGGGCTCCTCCCCACACCGGCTCCTCCCCACACTGTGCTCCTCCCCATGCCAGCTCCTCCCCACACTGGCTCCTCCCCACACTGTGCTCCTCCCCACGCCAGCTCCTCCCCACACTGTGGCTCCTCCCCACGCTGGCTCCTCTCCACACCGGCTCCTCCCCACACTGTGCTCCTCTCCACGCGGGCTCCTCCCCACACCGGCTCCTCCCCACACTGTGCTCCTCCCCACGCTGTGGCTCCTCCCCACACTGTGCTCCTCCCCACGCCGGCTCCTCCCCACACCGGCTCCTCCCCACACTGTGGCTCCTCCCCATGCCGGCTCCTCCCCACACCGGCTCCTCCCCACACTGTGGCTCCTCCCCACACTGTGCTCCTCCCCACGCCGGCTCCCCACGCCGGCTCCTCCCCACGCCGGCTCCTCCCCACACTGTGCTCCTCCCCACACCAGCTCCTCCCCACGCTGGCTCCTCCCCACGCCGGCTCCTCCCCACACTGTGACTCCTCCCCACACTGTGACTCCTCCCCACACTGTGGCTCCTCCCCACGCCGACTCCTCCCCACGCTGGCTCCTCCCCACGCCGGCTCCTCCCCACGCTGTGGCTCCAGCGCTAAGCCCAGCCGTGAACAACTTCTCATTCCCGTTTGCCCTGTCCGTCCTCGAGTCTCTATGTGTTCTCTTTCTTTTTAAAACGCAGGCATGGATTTACGCATCTATTTGGAGGGCAGAGTGACAGAGGATCTTCCCTCCGCTGGTTCACTGCCCAGAGGGCTGCAGCGGCCGGGGCTGGGCCAGGCCTTTGCCCCCTGTTTCGGGGTCTGTGGTCCAGCACGACGGGTGGTGTCTTGGCAGGAGTTGGTCTCATCTTCATCTTTGTTCTGGGTGGCCCAGAGCACCCCCCCCCCGCCAGCACCCTGGGTGCCGCTGGGGACGGAGCTGTCAGCCCCCACAGCTCACGTGTGGAGCCCCGACCCCAGGGTGGCAGGGTCTCCAGGGTTAACTGAGGTCTTGGATGGGCCCTGGCCCGAGGGCTGCGGCCTCGTCCCCTCGCTGAGGGAGGTGGGAGGCGGCTGCGCCTGCAGAGCTGGGAGCATCAGGTTGAGCAGAGACGCCGTGCACGGGAGGTTCTCTCGTCCTGGCCACTGACCCCAGCGTCCCCCAGCTGCAGTCGGCTCCCACTTCCACAGGACTCTCAGCGGCCCCGCAGCACGGCCCCTCCCACCGGGCGCCGGCAGGCCCCCAGGCCCCTCCCACCGGGCGGTGGTGGGAGCGGCCCGCAGCCCCTCCCTCGCAGTCCGCTGCCCCGGGACGTGGCCCCTCCTCTCTGGTGCCCTTTGCTGCAGGTTCATTCTGGCCACCTCGGCCTCCCGGCCGCTGTCCCCAGCTCTGCCGGTGGAAAACGCGGCCTTGGGGGCCCCTCATGGGTCTCCCCTGTACCTCCCGCTGTCCACCGTCCACGGGGAACTGCCCGTGTCTTCGGTTTCACAGCCACTCGGGGCACAACAGGAAGTCCACGCCGGCTCCCCTGCCGTGTCCATCACTGAACTGGGCGTCACGGCGGGCCAGACACCCACACACAGGTGCCCGGCCCGGGCCCAGGGGCAGCCGCCGTGCTGGCCTCCCGGGCCGCACAGGGCGCGCTCCCCTGCCGGCCTCGCCCCCATTTCCTGCCCGCCTTTGTCTCCGCCGCGACGTGACAGGCCGGGCTTTTATTTCCGCCATTAATCACTGATAAGAGCGCTGGACAGGCAGGCAGGTGGCCGGCCTCCGCTCGGCTTTGTCTGTAATTACAGGGAGCTCGCCGCTCGCTCCGGCACGTCACCCTCGCCCACCAGGCGAGAGCCGCGGGTCCCTGCCGCCGCCCTCTCCCTCCTGGCCCGTGTTGCAGGACATCACGGGGGGGGGGGGGGGGGGGGCTGCCAATCACAGCACACCCGCCCCTCCCCCATCCGGGAGCGGGTTGCCTGGCAACCGGCTGTGATGACATCATCTCCAGCAGAGGTTGGGGGGAGCTGAGACCCGGAGGAGGGCACAACCAGGAAGGGAGGGAGGGAGCCCGGACCGGCCAGCCAAGGCCAGGGGCTTCCGGAGAGCAGGGGGAGGGGCAGGCTGGAGGCCAAGGTGTGGGGGAAGGGCGGTGGGCGTCTCAGAGCGGTGGGCGGGCCCTCAAGATGAGGCTGGGGGAGAGCCGGGAGGCAGCAGGGAAACATTCCCACCTGGGAAGGAGCTGAGAGGTGGCCCTGCGGGGACGGCCTCTGCTGGCCCCACTGTCCCTCCTCGCCGTGGACAGCACCCACCCGCCACGAAGGCCCCAGCGTGCGAGATGAGGTGTTTTCTGCACCCAGGGTTGAGTCAGCATGAGGAGCAGTGCTGAGCCCCGCTCCCTGCCCCAGGAGAGCCCTGCCCAGGTCACCAGGCATCAGGGATGGGGCCAGACAGGGCAGAGATTCGGGCAGCTTCTTGGCAGTGGTAGGGGGCGACGGGGAGCCCCAGTGGGGGGCAGCACCTTCTCCACTTGCCCTGGAGAAGTCAAGACTCCCACGGGGGAAGATGTCCCAGCTGAAATCTACAGCTGCAACCAGGACACTGGGAGGGGCAGAGCCCCCTGCTGGGGGGGGCAGAGACCCTGCTGGAGAGGCAGAGACCCTGCTGGGGGGGGCAGAGACCCTGCTGGGGGGGCAGAGACCCTGCTGGGAGGGGTGGAGACCCTGCTGGAGAGGCAGAGACCCTGCTGGGAGGGGCAGAGCCCCCTGCGGGGGGGGCAGAGACCCTGCTGGGAGGGGCAGAGACCCTGCTGGGAGGGGCAGAGGCACCTGCTGGGAGGGGCGGAGACCCTGCTGGGGGGGGCAGAGACCCTGCTGGGGGGGGCAGAGACCCTGCTGGGAGGGGCGGAGACCCTGCTGGGGGCGGCAGAGACCCTGCTGGGAGGGGCAGAGGCACCTGCTGGGAGGGGCAGAGACCCTGCTGGAGAGGCGGAGACCCTGCTGGGGGGGGCGGAGACCCTGCTGGGGGGGCAGAGACCCTGCTGGGAGGGGCAGAGACCCTGCTGGGAGGGGCAGAGGCACCTGCTGGGAGGGGCAGAGACCCTGCTGGGGGGGCAGAGACCCTGCTGGGGGGGCGGAGACCCCTGCTGGGGGGGGGCAGAGGCACCTGCTGGGAGGGGCAGAGGCACCTGCTGGGAGGGGCAGAGACCCCTGCTGGAGGGGGCAGAGACCCTGCTGGGAGGGGCAGAGACCCTGCTGGGGGGGCAGAGACCCTGCTGGGGGGGCAGAGACCCTGCTGGAGAGGCAGAGACCCTGCTGGGAGGGGCAGAGACCCTGCTGGGAGGGGCAGAGACCCTGCTGGAGAGGCAGAGACCCTGCTGGGAGGGGCAGAGACCCTGCTGGAGAGGCAGAGACCCTGCTGGGAGGGGCAGAGACCCTGCTGGGGGGGCAGAGACCCTGCTGGGGGGGGCAGAGACCCTGCTGGGAGGGGCAGAGACCCTGCTGGGGGGGCAGAGACCCTGCTGGGGGGGGCAGAGACCCTGCTGGGAGGGGCAGAGGCACCTGCTGGGAGGGGTCCCAGCAGAACACACAGTGGCTGGACAGGCAGCGAGACCCCCTCTGAATGTCCACTCCTGTGGGGCCCTGGCTCCGGGTAGTGGTCTCAGGCGTCCCCTGGGCAGTCTCACCTGGGACCAGGGATAGGGCTGAGTAGGGGTCTGAGGAGCCCTGTTCTCCGACAGGTGCAGGACGAGCGGGGCAGGTGGGACACATCAGCCCCCTCCCCACTCGCGGCTGCCAGGACACGGGGTGCCACGTCACAGCACATCTCACCAGTCACAAAGTCACACGGGGTAATTTACTGATCCAGCAAATTCAAGGAAGGCAGTGGATGTAAGGAACCTGACGCCCCTGGCATGGCCCCTCCTCCTCGCTGGGACCCCCACCTCCCTCGGCACCCTCTCCCCAGCTCAGCCCTGGTCCCCGTCCCTCAGGCTCGGGCCACTTCCCCTCTGCAGCCCTCCGCGCCAGGCTCCGGTCCATTCTCTCACCAGCAGGCACTCCGCAGCCACCAAGGCCACCAGACTTCTTGGGGCCTCTGACCCAGTGCCGCCCATCTTCCCGCCACTCCCGACACGGCTCTCGTGACACCCACCTGGTGGCTCCAGCCACCTGGACCCCTACAGCTCCAGGAACTTGTACCCATCCGTAAGGGACTCCCCATCCCTGGTGGGCTTCTGTGGGTGCCCCTCAGCCCCCGAGCATCTGCTGTGGGTTCTCAGGTGCCAACCAGGTGTCCCACCAGGGCACACTCCTGGGTGTTCCAGCTCAGCACCCCAGGGTCCCAGGAACTGAGTCTTGTCTCGTGGGGCTCAGACACTGGCCGCGGGCACACGGCTGCTGGACGCAGGGGCCGCCTGGTGTCCCTGAGCACCTCCCACTCGGCTTCAGGGTGCAGCAAAGCCCTTCACTCTCGGGGGCCAAAGAAATGGAGTCCTGGCCCCTACAATGTCCACGTCCCAAGTCCCGGGCCCGTGCGTGGCACAGGGGTCACGGCAGATGCCCACGTCCCAACTCCCGGGCCCGTGCGTGGCACAGGGGTCACGGCAGATGCCCACATCCCAAGTGCCAGGCCCGTGTGTGGCACAGGGGTCACGGCAGATGCCCACGTCCCAACTCCCGGGCCTGTGCGTGGCACAGGGGTCACGGCAGATGCCCACGTCCCACGTGCCGGGCCCGCGCGTGGCACAGGGGTCACGGCAGATGCCCACGTCCCACGTGCCGGGCCCGCGCGTGGCACAGGGGTCACGGCAGATGCCCACGTCCCAAGTGCCGGGCCCGCGCGTGGCACAGGGGTCACGGCAGATGCCCACGTCCCACGTGCCGGGCCCGTGCGTGGCACAGGGGTCACGGCAGATGTCCAGCAAAGGGTACCAGGCAGCTCTAAGTCGGGGAGGCGGCCGGCGATCAGAGTGGAGAAGACACGGGTGGACGCCCCATCAGAGCAGGGCCCGGGCCTCCGGAAGTCCCCGGAAGCTGCAGGTGGGCATGACCTGTAGTCACCGAGGGGCCAGCCCGGCTGACCTCGCCCTTGGCCCAGGGAGGCCCCGTGGGGCCTGAGGAGCTGACCTGTTCCCGCCTCGCAGGAGCCTCCCTGGGGACCCTCAGCCCCCCGCAGCAGCCCCTCCAGGGAGGACGTGGGAAGTCCCCTCCCCACTGCAGGCTTGGACTGAGGCTCAAGTGGAGACAGCCCCACGCGCCCCCCGACCCCGACCCCACAGGCTGCCCTGGGAAGGCCGGCCCACGGCGGTCCCTTCCACGGACCCAGTGAGGGCCTGGGGGCCAGGGCCACCTCCTGGCCAGGAGCCGGTGCTTCTGCATCTGCCGTGGGGGACCCTGGGGAGCCCCCTGGGGTGGCTCTGGACGAGGCCCCGCCTTGGGGTCAGATCAGAGACCGGGGGGACGGGCAAGACCAGGCCTCAGGAGTGGATGGAAGGCTGAGCCGGGGTTCCCGTGGGAGGGGCAGAGCATGGGTTCTGAGCTCCCTGGTGCTCCTGGCCGAGCCCTGAGAGCATGCAGGTCTGTCCCCGGGGCTGCCACTGGGGACAACCCCCTGCCCGAGGTCCTGGGGTGCCCGCTGTGGCCACACCCTCTGGGGGGACCCGGCTTCCCTGTGATGCTGCTTCCCTGGAAGCCCTGTGTGTGGGTGGGTGAGGGCGGGGCTGCAGGGAAGGAGGCGGGGGCGTGGAAGGAGACCCTCGGGGAGGAGCGGGGTGAGGGGCCTGCAGACAGCACCCAGTGCCAGAGGCCGAGGACGTCCTGGTTCAGTGGCCCCTCCGGAGATGGGCGGTGTGGGCATCCCCGGAGGCAGCAGCAGGGGGCTGCGTCCAGGAGTCACCCAACCTCCCCCCGAGGAGACGGACTGCCCTTGGGGTCCCCGGTCCCCTCCTAGTCTGAGGAGCCTGTGCCCAGCCTGGGAGACCCGTGGCTGCTCCCCACCCCCTCGCTGTGCTATGGGTTGGCCCCGAGGAGCCCTCGGCCCCTGCACGGCCCAGGCTGGGGCTGTTCTTTTTCAGGAGTGTACAAGTTTCTGTGGCTGCTGTAGAAAGCCCACAGACCCACGCTCTCCCTCCACAGTCCTCGAGGTCAGAGGCCAGAAGTGGGACGCGCAGGGCCCGGCCGCTGGCAGCTGTGCCCCACCCGTGCTCGGCACCGTCCGGTCCTCGTGGAGTTGAGCCTGCAGGTGTGGACCCGGGATCCGGGGCTGACGGTCAGTCCTGCTCCATCCACGGCTGGTCCGGCTTCCTGCTGCTCACCGGGCACCGCCGGGGCTCTGTGTGCGCAGGCAGGACGGCGGGGCCGGGAAACACAGCCGTGTGGAAGCAGGGTGCTGCAAAGTGTGGGCCATGGCTGAGAAGGCAGGACCGGGACTTCTGTATCCCCCTCCCCCGCCCCACCCCTCCACGGGGCTTGGCAGGTGCATGGCAGCAGCACAGCAGGGGGCAGCCCCCGTGTGTGCTCCCGGCTGCGGGCTCTGTAGCACTTGCCTCGCACAGCCAGCTGCGCCGGGAGCAGCGTCACGAGGCCTCACCACCGACTCCCGCCGGCTGGGCCTGGACCCTGGTGAAGCTCAGCAGGCTGCCTGAGGACGGCAGTTTCTCTCCAAGAATGACGGCCTGCGTCCGAACGCCTTTAACCATGTCCCTGCCAGCCGCCAAACTCAGGGCCCTGCTGGAGCTCAGGACGCGCAGACTCTAGTGAGGAGCTGGCCACTGTGTCCACTGCAGGCCCTGACCCGGGCCCCCCAGGGAGCAGAGCACAGAGGCCCGAGCCCGCTGCCCCCAGCCCCGGGCCCACCCCTCGCTCACCGGGGCCTGGTCCCCTCTGCAGAGGGATCGTCCCCACGTGCAGTCGTGCACGTGGGCAGCGTGCGTTTCCCGGACTGCCCGAGCAGGGACCACACACGCTCCAGCCGGGCGTGAGGCTGCAGGTCCCAGGCCAAGCCTCTGCTCCCCCAGTGGCCGTGGGGACAATCTGCCCTGCCTCTCCCAGCTCCTGGAGGCGCCAGGGTCTCCTTGGCTGGTGGCTGTCTCCCCGGTCTCAGCCTGCGTGTTCATTGGCCGCTTGGAGCAGAGGCCCCGGGGGTCCACCTCGGGGCTCTGTCATCAGAGGTGTTTGGGGGCCTCCATGCTCCCCCGCCACAGGTGCCACAAATGTCTGGTGGACAAGCAAGTACAAGTTGACCAGACGACTCCCTCCTGGCCCCAGCTCTAGGAAGAGGGGGAGAAAGAACCCAGTTCCATCACCCACAGAACAGGAGACCCCGTGCTCTCCACCCCCACCCAAGGAGCCCCACTCCCACCTTCCTCCCAAGTGCCCGCCTTCCCCAGGCCCCCCTGGCTCATCAGAGGGAAGTGCGGGGCCAGAGACCCCAGGATGGCAGACGGGGCCATCACCACGGAGACCGTGAGCTCAGTCTTTGTCCGTGGCCTGTGTGGTGCCGGGTGGGCAGGTGGACGGGCCCCAGCAGCCTGGCCTGGGGGGGAGCTCCTGGAAGGAGCGTGGAGCCCTGCTCATTAGGACTGGGGACGTGGCTGCCGGCTGATTAGCCCTGTAATCCCTAATGGCTTTGCCCCACCCCAATCCCAGGGGGCCCTGGTCTCCCCGGAGCAGCCCCAGCCCGGGTCCCCTCTGGCTGGGGAAGCCTAGAGGCAGCAGGGCATTGACACGGTGGCCCTGACCCAAGCCCTCCATCGCAGGCACGCGAGCGGGAGGGGAGCGAGGCCGGGCCAGGCCTGCGGTCAGGGCGGTGCGGCCCGGCCTCCCCGTCGGCTGCCAGGTCCTGAGTCGCCCTCAGCAGCTGGTAGAGGCAAGAGGAGGCCCTGGGCTCCTGACCCCAGTGCACCACGGCCGCCCCGGAGACCCCGTGCGACTCTGCCCAGTGGCAGAAAGGCACTCCCCCACACTGTCACCCCTGCGGCTCTCTGTGGCGTCAGCCGAGCCGACTTCCCCTGTGGCCGGGGGGGGGGGGGCGTTGTGGGGCCCTTGGGTGCCCCATGCTCTGGGGAAACCAGTGTCCCCTGCAGCGTGAGCAGCCGGCACCTGGGGCACCACGGGCACACACAGCGGCAGCTCCCCTGCAGGTGCTCCCAGGGTGCGGCGGCCCGGCTTGGAGGTGAGGCTTCCGCGGCAGGGACTGGTGAAGTGGGCGGGGCTAAGGGAGCAGGCGTGCCGCTGAGTGGGCGGAGCTGCAGGACACACAGGCACTGAGTAGGCGGGGCTGCTGGGGGGGGAGGGCCTAAAAGAGCAGGCACAGGAATCCTCACAGGCCCTTGAGTGGGGACCCAGGCCTCTGAGTGGCGGCCCAGGCACGTGAGTGGCACCACTTGAGTGCCAAGCGCAGGCCCCATTGGAGACGCTGGCCCACTATGGAGGGGGGGTTCCCACCCCCCCCCCACCAAACCTGAGCTGTACCTGGGATGCTTTGGACCGGCGCTGGGCAGGGGCGGAGGCCAGGCCCAGACGGGGACAGAGCCAGGGCCGCCTGCTGGGCTGCAGGGAGAGGTGGGGGGTGGGGGGCACCCAGAGGCAGGGGCACCCAGGTGCTCGGCACCCCCTGCCCCCGCTCTGGGCTGCGCACTGCCCAGCCCCTGCCGCCCTCCGGCTCCCGCTCCCATTGGCTGGTTCCCTGGACTTCCCCCCTCGCCACTCCCCCTCCCTGCTCCACCTGTGGCCCCTCCCTGGGGTCGGGGTTCTTCTGGCCCAGAGCCCAGGGCACCCCCTGTGCAGCTCCAGCCTCTGCTGGGCCAGCTCGGACCCCACCCCCTCCACGTTGCCACATTTCCCAGGATCCTGGGCAGCCAAGAGCAAACCACCGGCTTCTCCCCAACCCTGGCCCCCACAGCCCCAGGGCCCCCAGAGACCCACTGCTTCCCTCTCTGTCTCTCTCCTCTCTGTCTCTGTCTCTGTCCCCACACCTCCAGCCCTGGGCACCTCATCAGCTCAATCCCAGGGCCCTGGGTCCCTCCCCTCTCCCCCTCCCAGGTCCCCCTCGCTGGAGCACAGAGCCTGGCCTGGGCCCTCTGGGGTTCCCTCCTGGGGTTCCTAAGAGCTGTGGAGCAGCAACAGCCGGGCGGGGCTCCGGGCCTGTGGCTGGGGGGTTCCAGGCTGCCCTGTGTCCGACCCCAGCCTCCCCTCTGACCACAGCCCCGCCACCCTGCCTGGTTCTGCCGGCTTTGAACCAGGTACGAGGCCTAGGTGAAGACCCGTGTCGGGGTTTTGCGCCTTTTGCTTAAGCAAGGCGGGTGGCCTCCACAGGAATACAGACCCCACCTCTGGGCGTGCCCCGCTCTGAGGTCCTACATCACAAACAGCCAGACCGCGGAGTCGCTAAAGACGGATGGCATTGCAGATGGGGAGAAAGCTGGGAACGAACTGGGATCCAAAACACAAAAACACGAGCCCCCCCCACCCAACCAAGAGCCGGCCCCACTGCGCCCCGCCCCGCCCGGGAGCCGGGAACAGGCCCCTCCCCTCGCGGAGGCAGACTCGCAGATGGCAGCGACGCCGGCGGGAGCTCGAGCCAAATGGTGGAGGCACAGCCCGCACATGGGGACCACGGTGAGACCCAGACCCCCGGCCCCGAAACCCAGGCCCCTGCAAGGGGGAGGAGCCTCAGGGACCCCACCCGCCCCACCCCGCCCCGCTGCTGGGGCCGTGCAGGGTGGAGGCGGCCTGGCGGCTTCTTACAAAACAGAGCTCCTCTTGTCAAAGCACTCAGCTTTGTCGTCTTGGTATTTACCCAAATGAGCTGAAAACTTATGTCTACACAAAAACCCACATGCAAATATTTACATGAGCTTCGTGCACGGGAATCAGCCCAGACACTTCGCACGCGCCAGGCGGCGTCAGCCGCCGCCCACCACACGAGGGGGTGCCCAGTGACGAAAGGAGACACGCAGGGACCCTGGACGCCCGTCCCTGAGGGCAGCCAGCCGGCCACGCGCTGCAGGACACCGAGACAGCCCGCCGGACTCTGTCCTGGCACTGTGCCGTGAGCCTGGGTTTAGGTGGGGGAGCATGGCTGCGGGCCCCTCTCGGCTTCTGCAGGGGCCTTGAGCCCCACCAGAACGTGGTGGAGAAGCGGAGGCCGGCAGGGCTGTGGGGAGACAGGTCCTGTGCGCCCGTGGCACGGCCTCTCCTCCAGGTTTGGCCGCTTGCCCCCTCTCCCACCACCCTGCAGCTGCCAGCCCAGGTCTCGGGACTGCATAAACCGGCCTGAAGCAGCTCTGAGCGCTTTCCCCAGCACAGGGGTGGCCACAACACCCTGCAGCCACAGCCCAGCCGGGGTGGCCGGGACAGCTGGTCGACCTGCCCTGTGCAGTACTCCAGCTCTTGGTTCCCGGTGGTAGAATGGAAAGTGGAGCCATGACACAGCTCATGGAGGCTTGCTCTTTTCGTTTGTTAAAATGATTTATTTATTTACTTGAAAGGCAGAGTTAGAGAGAGAGAGAGAAGGACAGAGACAGAGAGACAGGTCATCCAAACGCTGGTTCATCCCCCAACATCCGCAACAGCCGGAGCTGGGCCAGTCAGAAGCCAGGAGCCTCCCCCAGGTCCCCCACGTGAGTGCGGTGGCCCAAGGGCTGGACATCCTCCTCTGCTCTCCCAGGCCACAGCAGGGAGCTGGGTGAGAAGTGGAGCAGCCAGGACTTGAACCAGCCCACCGTGAGACCAGCCCAGCCTTACCACTCAGGGAGGTGGACACGGCAGAGCCGCTGTGGCTGGAGGGAACGCCGTGGCTCGCTGTCCTGACGCAGATCAGGGGCGGGAGGGGGTGGGCCAATGATTCTGCGAGGACCTCCCACTACCAGGAGAGACTTAAAAACCAAAGTCGCACAAAACAGCCTCCTCTTACATTGAAATCAGGACGCTGGGTGAACACCAGTGACAGGCCGGGTGCCTGGCCCTGGAACTCCAGGGTGCTCGGGGAGGGGCCCAGCCTGAGCCCACCGTGGAGCCCGCAGCTCCTGCAGGCACAGCTCGCTCAGGGCTCCATCTCTACAGGACAACATGCGGCACACAGCAGGGGCTTCCATGGGCCAGGTGTGCTACACACAGTGGGGCTCTCACATCGCACTCACAGGAGCTGATCCAGCTCAGTCTAGATACTGGGAAGTCCGGGACAGAGGGGTCGCGTGAGGCGGGGGTGGGGGCTGCAGGAGGCAGGGGTGGGCCCCTCCTGCCACGCCCAGCGCCTGCCTGGATGCCGGCCCAGCCTGGATGGCAGTGACGCCATGACCTAACTGTCGTGGAAGGCCCTGGACGTTGAGTTTTGCTGCAAGCTTGGGGGGTCCCCGACATCCCTCTGCACGCCAGGCACACAGGCTGCCCGGCCCCTCTCCAGCCCCCCGCCCAGGGCCTCGTGGCCGGCAGCCGTCCACTGGCAAATGCAGTGGTATGTCTGGGAGCCAGGCCGGGGAGGAAGCTCCTGGTGCATAGACAATGCGGGGCAGGTGCCCAGGGCCCCCCAGGTCAGCACAGCTCCGCAGTCCTCGCGGGGGCAGTCAGCCTCACGACCTGGGGCTTGGCCTTTCTCATCAGCACACAGGGAGGGTGAGGTGCCCACAGGGAAAACCCTTTCGTTGCCCGCCCCGTGGGAGCTGCCGGGGACCCCAGACTTGGGTGCCGGAGCTCCTCAAGCAGGCC